TTTACAGGTAGTATGTGCATAATTAAAAAATTAATTTCTATATTTCTATAGTAAAACAGTTACAGAAATGAAAAGCGTTGTAAATATTATATATAGTAAAATGTTATTAGTAATAAAAATGTTACATGATGAATATTTGTGACATGTATATAATAATATTGTTTTTACGTTGTTTACAGAGAAAAAGATATTATTTACAATGAAGAAATAGATCCTATCGCACGTCAAAATTGAGTTATCACGTATAATAGGACGTAAAGTTGTAGGTCAAGTGTTTGGTACTGCGGTTAGTCCGTCATGGTGATCTTACATGTGGCTGAACGAGGGTATTGCTACGTTGTTCGGCGTGTACATAATCAATCAGGTATTTCCTCATGTCTGTGATACTTTGAAAGAAACTGAACATAAGTTCTATTTGAAATCATACGAAAAAAGAAAGCATATTTCGATCATTTTTAATGATATTTAGGTTAATCGTAATAAATTTTGTCGAATTCATGTGAAATCGTTTATAAAATTTTTAATAATTTAATTTTATTGTTAATGATTATTAGTCTAATAAAAATAAACTGATAATTAAATTATTGTTTATTGTATTTGTTGATTGTACTTGTAATATCTAGACTATGCCAGATATTCGGATGTTGGATTTGTTCGTAGTTCAAACTCAACAAGAGTCTCTCCGTCTAGATGATTCACAAATTATGAAACCTCTTGATTCAGAAGTTAACAGTATCTCTGAAATTAATTCTCTTTTCTCTTTCACCTATTACATAAAAGGTATACAGTACTGAATAAATAACGTTAAAACAATTAAAACATAAAAATTATTTAAGAACTATGACCAAAAAAAGAGTTTTTTTTTCAATTCACATATTTTTTTACTTACTGCAATAAGCAAAGACACATTCTAACAAATATATCAAACACAAATATATCCTAAAAACATCGAAATTTTTATTTAATTATAATCTTATCATATTTCTGAGAACTTCGATAAATTTAATGTACAATTTCTTGCATATTTAATCTTATAACGCTTATTTGTTGTAGCACCTTCTATATTGCGTATGCTACACCATACAGTGGGTGATGAAATTTTTCAAAAAGGAATTAAAGCGTATATGAAAAGGAAGTAAGTATTCATGTCTTGTATCTTTCATCTCTTTTTTGCAAATGAATAATTTTTTATTTTAATTTCTTCGACATATGATGTAAGGTTATGTGTAAATAATAATTTACTATATTCTTTGCTATTTTTGCGATGTACAACAACTATGTTACTACATATAACATTTTTCTTGTCAAATACTTTCTTACTTCTCGAAATAAGAAAAAATTTTAATGTGTTAACATAAAAAGAAGATTTTGTATTAAAAAATTTGCTATTTAGAATTAAAAGCTAATTAACAATAAAATTTAATGTAATTCTTTTTCGAATATATCATTACATGTTATTTTTGTTTGTAGATGATAGGGATAAAAATTGAAAACATTTTTATTATAAAATTTATCTATTCAATCCGTGCAATCGATGTTGAAACTTTACAACTTATATTGCAATTTTGTGCAAATAAAATCACGGGCATCTGCCCCGCGAGAACTAAACTGAGCGAACGATGCAAATTATACGAGTTTTTAGACGATTATAAAATTGCTGTAAATTTGTGTTTATGCTATATATCGAGAAAATCATATTTGTTTGCTGATATTGTCTTTATCATATACATCGTTAATAGATATCATATACATCGTTAATTTTTCTACATTTTTGTAGAACGGGAAGTCTGGACGATTTTTGGACTATAATGCAATCTATCTATGATTCACAAACTACGGATTTGGAGAAAATTAACGTGAAAGACCTGATGAATCCTTGGATACAAGAAAAGCAATATCCCATTCTTAATGTAACGGAAACCTTTGAATGGATGCAAATTGTTATAGAAACCGCTTCCAAACCCTGGTACTGGACGGTACCATTAACAAATCAAGTGTATATAAATTTAAAACGAGTTTTACCCAAATTTTGTCTAGCCCGGGAAAAGCACTTTCTTGCAGTATGTTATAATTCTGAACACAGTCAATTCATAATAATCAATCAGCAACAAACAGGTAAATAACGATCAAATACTTTAATATGGAATATTATTAATTTATTTATTTTGAAGACTTATTATGAAGACTTATTAATTATGAAAAGAAAAAGATTCTTGACCTATTTTTGTAACAGAGTTTTTAGATAGGATATATATAACTTTAAATATATATCAAGGCTAAGTTAGAATTGCCTATATGCTTCTTTTAGTGATTTTAATCCATCTACAATTATTCTTGTCTTAAATGAATTACGGTTAACGCATTTAATTTAATAATTATATTTATATGTATGATGAAATTCTTTGATATTATTCCTTTCTGACATGCAATATTTATAAACAAAGGTTAAGTTTGTTATATCGCTGCAAAAAGTTGTCAACCGAATGATCCGCAACATTTTCGACGTAAAATTCAAAATTATATTAGTCTGTAAATACCAATTTTTTATTATTTATAATACAAGCATTTCTATCTCTAATTAATATCAATTACATTATAATTTAATACACCTAATGGCAAATAATATTTATTTATCACATGACAGGATACTACCGTGTATTTTACAATTTGGAGAGTTGGTTAAAAATCATAAGATATCTTAATTCCGAGAATTATATAAATATTAATGTCTTAAATCGTGCTCAAATCATCGACGATACGTTCCATTTAACAATATCAGGCGAATTAGATTTTCCTGTATTTTGGGAAGTCGTAAGCTATCTAAAGTGGGAAACGGACTATATACCATGGTATTCTATGTTCAAAGCTGCTGAACACATGTCATACATTTTACCGTTTCACAATACCGATAGTGCAATATTCAAGGTAAAAGCGATTTTAGTAAAGACAATTTTTACAACTTATGTTTTTATGTTCAAAATATTAATATTTTACTTTTAATAATTTTCTAAATCTTTCTCTAAAAGATATGATGTAATTAATTTGGAAAAATAAAATTTTTTTTATGATTCTACAAGATTTAGACTTAAAATTTCTGAAATAATTAACGTTATCTTTACAATACTCAGAAGAAGCTACTAATGCAATTGGATCCGCTTCTTCAAAAGATTGGGTATGAAGAAAAATCTAACGACGACAGTTTTATTAAATGTTTAAGACAAGAAGCTCTAAGATGGGCATGTGTTCTTGGTGATAACGAATGCAGAAAACATGCTGAATTTAAATTGCAATGGCATTTGTTAAATACGACGTAATTATTAATTCTTCTATTGTAATAGTTTTACTATATTTGCAATACACTTCATACTTTAAATAAAAATATGTAAAACTATAAATTATATTAATTTTTTGATAAAATGTTTCAGAGAAAATAAACTATTACCATGGTGGAGGGAATGGACGTTCTGTAATGGTTTATCTGTATCTAGTATTTATCTTGACCAACTATTTAAAGATTGGGATGCAATGTTGAAAATTAAATATCTAAATGTGTTTAAAGTTGTCGCTTGCCATCATGATATTTTTAGTCTCGTGTATTTGCTAAAAACGTTCAAAAATGATCACATATCTGCTTATACAGAAGATAATGCAAGGACAATCACTATTACTAAATACAATATTGATCTGTTTTATTATGTTATTCAGAGACATGCAAATGATGCTTTATTCAATCACATTTTATTAAATAATTTGAAAACAGTCAAGCCTAAGTAATAATACGTTTTCACAAATTTTAAATTTTAAATGCAAATTTTTTATCTGCATACAATCAAAACTTTATTACATTATTTTATTTTATTATATTATATTATTTATATTACATGCAATTTCTTTTCTAGAGAGATTAGTACAACCGCAGCATTAATTAATATTATAAATTATACTTATTCTAGTAAATTACTCTGTGAGGTAAGTTTTATTAAACACAATAACTCTTGTTCTTTTCATATATTTTCGTTAAATTATGATTTTTGATTATGCTTTATATGTCATAATGTTACAAAGATTTTACTTTAACTTTTGTTGTTGAGTAAGAAGTTAAATGAATAACATATAAATGTAACATAAAAAGAAATAATATCTTATTTCTATTTATTTCATGAAGGTCGGTAAAATTATTAATTTTTAATACATATGTTTGTATATTAATTTCATTACAAACAACATACAAATTTAAAAAATTATTTTATTTACAAAGAAACAATAACGTCAGTATTTCCTTAAATTTGATATACCTTCATGTGTGATATAAAGAATTCTTTCTAGACTACCAATCGTAAGTGCGCGTAATATTGAACTACCTCTCCAAATTCGCTCCTTTTATCAATTAATCTTTTATGAATTGCAAAACTTGCAACGCGGTAAAGATTTTTTTATTTCTTATCAGTAAAATCGGTTTTATCTGCACATAAGCTCCCTGTCAATAATTATTAGATAGTCTGTAGAAAAGAATCTAAACGAATACATGTATAAAACACAAATAATGTTACAACATTATTATATAATGTTTCATATTATTACAATTTTTCTTTCTAAAATTAATGATTTTGCAGAATATATGCATATTTAACATGACGAT